TTTATTGAAGTGGAGAGCCAGACAGAAAGATGCCCAAATCCAATTCTCTCATTCCACTTGCACACAGCCTCTGCCTTTTCCCTAACAAAAGGTCCTGCACTCTGGCCAAACCCCCATGCTTTCCAGGGTCTGCCACTTGAACAGATCCTTTCTGTGGTTAGGAAAGGCCAGAGGGAGCAAAATCCAACTGTGATTGGGAAAAGGGTATTCTCGCTCACACACACACAGAAACATACACACATTTTTCTCACTTCTCTGGGCTTTAAAGTTAAACTTTAGAGGTACTCACCTTCACCTTCTTTCCAAAGCAGACCTTGAGCTCAAACCCAAAACTCCTTTACTACCCTGGCTGCACATGGGCAGGGCCTGGGAAACCCATCCGCCGACACAAGGAATCTGCTGCCGGCAAGATGGGGCTTACCAGTCTCAGTCCATTGGAGAGGTTAGCTTGGAGTCCCATCTGGGTGCCAAATTGTTGAAGGAAAAGTCTTCATCATGGTTTAGTCCAAGCTGGGAATAAACAACATGGCGACTGCTTTAGAAATAATTTTAATAATTTTAGAAAGTTTATTGAAGAGGAGAGCCATGGCACGCCAGCAACCGGGCTGCACAAACAAGCAAAGCCCCATCTGCGAGATGCAGGCAGCACACAAAACCATGCGCCCTCCAGTCTGTGGAAAAGCCTCTCTCCATGGAATTGGTCCCTGGTGCCCAAAAGGTTGGGGACCTCTGTTCTATATATTCTAGCACCAGTTTAGATAATGTTTATTATCCCCAACATGTTGTCACCTTTTCTTTTACAGCAAATGGAGTGTCAACACCTTTACTGAACTGTTTAACATTAATCTAAGTCTCATCACTAGCTGATTCCATCCATTTAGTTCCCTTACTTTGAGCAAAATTGTAGACTGAAAATGAACCTCGAGCCAATACCCTTTCCGATCTTTAACTGAGTGATTTAATTCAGAGGTCCCCAACCTTCTGGGCATCAGGGACCAGTGCCATGGAGAAAGCTTTTCCTGCGGATCAGAGAGGGTGTGGTTTTGAATACTGCCTGCATCCCGAGGATGGAGCTTTGCTTGTTTGTGCAGCCCACTTGGTGGCATGCTGCAGACCAGTGTCGGTCCATGGACCGGGGGTTGGGAACCCCTGAATTAATGGGCTTTATTACAATTACATTTGTATATCCTTCTGCATTATGTAAATTTATCTGAAGTCTATTAGGCTTTCAGTCTCCAGTCCTGTCAAGTTCAACTAATGAAGCTCTATTCATGCTTTGGGTAAATGTGGCTTACAACTTTTTGAGTTGAATCTTGAAATCCTAGTAATTCATCATAAATCTAAATATGGTCCTTAAACTTTCCACTGACACCATTTATACAGCATATAATTCATTTGCAGTATTATTTCCCTTTCCTGCCCATTTGAACCAACAGCATCTTGAACTATCTTCCTAGATACTGAAAATCCATGGAGATATAATTGTAAGTGTAATATTTCTATATTTGTTTTGCATTAGTAAGTAGGCTGACTCAATTTTTGTTCATAGTAGATTACACATTTCTTAAACTAATAGTTCTATCAGGGCACAAGTTTCAGTTCCTTGTCGTTGTTATCCATCACCATTCTTTGATAGATTCATTGAGAAATTATACTTTATCCAATAGCTATAAACCACTGCCCATAAAGGAGGGGTTTTTGATCTCTTAACAGCTCTTTGAAATGTTCCAGGTATGAAACAAAATGCTTCTTCCAAAAAAGTTCGTTTTGAGTGTTTCTGCTTTACTCACTGCGACTGAACAGTTTTGTGGGTTATCACTGGATTGTATTTTTCAAACATTTTCTAATGCAGCAGCAAGGATCATCTTGTTTCGTCTGTTGGTTTAAACTTAATGAAATAATGTGAAAATAGGAAAGTTACTAACTTCTGGGTGCATTTTTTGGCATCTAGCAGCTATTTCTATGTGCCAACATAAACATCAGGAAAAGATGGTTGCTTTTGTTCTGTATGTTTGGTAGATAACCACAAAATAGTATGCCAAATATTTTGTGGTTGTACTAAACTTGGGGTGTTAGCACTTACAGAAATCATTTTTGTTAAAATAAAAATATTAAAAACAAATACCCAAATATGATGTACTAATGGAACAAAATATTTAAAAGATTTTTTGTTTGTTTATCTTTTGGTTTTGTAATCTTTTGGCTGAAGAATCCAAAGGAAGTATTTTAATTGAAAACATATTTTCTGCTAAGATTTTTTTGAAAATATAACTAACCCAGTAGATGTTTCAGTAGGTAAGAACAGAGCTGTGTTGCACTTTTTCCTGTAAGAATTTAATTGATTTGAAAAATAGTGTTCATGGTCATATTTTCTGCAATTTGCATACTGGGCAGCATTCAGCATGGACTTCAGTGTTGTGGTCATGAGGTGAATTGTCTCACTCTACAATAACATGGGTTTATCTTCCTCAAATCTTGCCCTGAGAACTTGTGAAATATAGACCATTAAGAGAGCTAATTTCAATAAACTTAGAGAGAGCTTAGGAACAATTCCATGGATGAGAATCCTCAAGGGGAAAACAACTCAAGAAGCTTGGGAAATTTTGAAAAGTGAGATTATAAAAGCCCAGTTTAGCACAATACCAACGAAGAAGAAAAATAACAGCTCTCAAAAGAAACTAGCATGACTGCATAAAGAACTCTGATAAATTGAAAGACAAAAACAAGTATAAAATGTAGAAAGAGGGGCACATAACTAAGGCAGAATATCAGCAAATAACCCAAGCCTGCAAAGATGAAGTAAGGAAAGCCACGGTTCAAAATGAACTAAGGCTTGCAACAAAAGTCAAAAATAACAAAACAAAACAAAAAAAAAAGCTTCTTTCAACCGGTAAAAAACAAGAAAAAAGTTAAGGAAATGATTGGTCCATTAGTGGGAGGAAGTGGCAAGGTGACAAGCAACAGAGAAAGCAGAACTATTAAACTCATTTTTTGCATCTGTCTTTACACAAAGAGAAAAAACAATCCAACCTATCAAAAACAGTACTGTAAAAAACAGATTAGAAACACAAGTTAAGATAGGCAAGAAAATGGTGAGCACCTATCCATCCTATACGAGTTCAAATAACCAGGACCAGATGGATTATACTCCAAGGTTCTGAAGGAACTGGCAGATGTGACCTCGGAACCACTGAACTATATCTTTCAAAGATCCTGGAGTACTAGAGAACTACCAAAGGACTGGAAAAGAGATGATATAGTTCCCATCTTTAAAAAAGGAAAAAATGGATCCAGGAAACTACAGACCTATCAGCCTGACCTAGGAAGATTCTGGAAAAGATAATCAAGCAATGAATCAAGAAACACCTAGAGGCAAACAAAGTCATAACCAAAAGCCAACATGGGTTTGTCAAAAACAGATGTCAGACAAATCTTATTGCATTCTTTGACCAGGTGACAAAATTAGTGGACCAGAGGAATGCTGTGGATATAATTTACTTGGACTTCAGTAAGGCATTTGATAAAGTAGATCATAACCTACTACTTGATAAGATAGAAAAATGTGGGTTAGGCAGCATCACCACCAGATGGATTCGTAAGTGGCCGATTGGCCGTACTCAGCGTGTGGTCCTCAATGGAACTGCATCTACATGGAGGGAAGTGTATAGTGGGACGTCCCAGGGCTGTGTTCTGGGCCCAGTGATCTTCAATATCATCAATCATTTGGATGAGGGGATAGATGGAGAACTCATCAAATTTGCACACGATACCAAGCTGGCAGGAATAGCCAACACTCCAGAAGACAGGCTTAAGATACAGAAGGATCTGGACAGACTTGAACACTGGGCGCTATCTAACAAAATGAAATTCAATAGTGAAAAAAGTAAGGTTCTACATTAGGCAAGAAAAAACAAATGCACAGGTACATTTGCTCAATAGTAGTAACTGTGAGACAGATCTCGGAGTCCTTGTGCAGAGGTCCCCAACCTTTTGGGCACCAGGGACCGGTTCCATGGAGAAAGGTTTTTCTGCAGACTGGAGAGTGCGTGGTTTTGTGTGTTGCATGCATCCCATAGGTGGGGCTTGCTTTGCAGACTGGTTGCTGGCATGCTGCGGTCAGTATTGGTCCATGGAGTGGGGGTTGGGGACCCCTGTCCTAGTGGACAATCACTTAAATATGAGCCAGCAGTGCTGCAGCTGCCAAAAAAACCAACACTCTGCTGGGCTGCATTAACAAATGAATAGAATCAAGATCACATGAAGTGTTAATACCACTTTATAATGCCTTGGTAAGGCCACACTTGGAAGAGTGCCTCCAGTTTTAGTCACCAAAAAAGTAAAAAAGATGTTGAGAATCTAGAAAGAGTACAGAGAAGAGCAACAAAGATGATTAGGGACTGGAGGCTAAAACATATAACGAACGGTTGCTGGAATTGGGTATGTCTAGTTTAATGAAGAGAAGGACGAGGGGGGACATGATATCAGTGTTCCAATATCTCAGGGGTTGCCACAAAGAAGAGGGACTCAAGCTATTTTCCAAAGCACCTGAAGGCAGGACAACAAACGAAGGAAACTAATCAAAGACAAAAGCAACCTAGAACTAAGGAGAAATTTCCTGACAGAACAATTAATCAGTGGAACAACCTGCCTCCAGAAGTTGTGAATGCTCCAACACTGGAAGTTTGAAGAAGAGAGTGGACAACCATTTGTCTGAAATGGTTTCAGGGTTTCCTGCCTGAGCAGGGGGTTGGACTAGAAGACTTCAAAGGTCCCTTCCAACTCTATTATTGTTATTGTTATTAAAACTTTTGTTCCCCCATGTTGATAATTGGTAGACAATTACAAGGTTTACATTATTGAGCAAATTTTCAATCATACTTTTTGCATTCTAATTAGTTTCAAGAACAAAAGTATATATGAAATAGGTGAATCGATGAACATTTATCATTGTCTATGTACGATTCTCATAAAACAGAATCAAATTTTAAGGCCTAGTGTATTTATGCATCAGAAAAGTGAATATTGGTTTTAATAACTACTACAATAAAAAAACAGATAGCATCCAAATGCTATAACATCACATGAACAGAAGGTTTAAATCATTACAAAACACTGTCATAGCAAGCAAACATTTCAGAGCATTTTTATACTATACAGATGATATTTTCACTCATGTGTCTGAGGTATATAGGGTACTCATCTTCTTTTTGTAATTAACTAGGATTTCTTTCAAGTTCTTCAGTGGATCTTGAGATATAAATTCATTGAATTCTCTGTCAATTTTTATATTCTGTTCAGTCAAGTATTTCTAGAAGAAAATGGTAATAGATTATATTTTAGTTTTTATTTTATAAATGCAGAACTGGCATAAGATTCAATGTAAAATGCAGCTGTTATCTGTAGATTATTTCTTTTTGATAGAAAACCAGTACACAATTATGAAATTATAAAAACAGAAGTTTTATGTGAAAGATATCTTGAAAACTTCCATTAGCTTTAATAGGCTTGACTTGTAAAAATGGAAGAACAGCCAGAGAACCCTACCAGCCATTCTCCACCCCCACCCCCCACAATACAGGGATCAAAAAGTTATAGGTGTTCCAAAGAAAATGTAACAAAATGTAACAAATACCCTATTTACTATAGAAAATAAACTTTCAGAGTAAATATTCTATTTATCTATAGATGATCCTTAGTCACTAAGGCTTAATGGAATTAATAGCCTAAATAGACTGCACTTCTTACAGAATGAACTCTTCTCCAATTACTGGTAAAATCTAATAAGAAAAGAAACAGTAAGATTTTATCCACATGGTAACTAGGGTGTGAAAATATTATTCATGAAGTGATCTTGATAAGAATTAACAGATTAACAAGCAAGTATATCTTTATTACGTTGACCATATCCAATTTATATCAAGCCTTGTCCAAATGGCTTAGGTTTCAAAGCCATGGCAAAAACATTAAAATACAAACTATGATATAATGTACAGAATGCCAACAAGTGGCCGCATAATAGTTAACTAAAAAGGCAGGTGAGACAGAAACACTTTTTCTTTGTTGAACAGATATGCTCGGCTGAGCTATATTGTGAAAAGATATAGATATATAAGAAATTCAGCCAGACATACTGTATCTTGGTAGTCTTTTACTATATAACCAAACTTTTGCATCTGAATTGTGTGCTATCCCTTCTTTTAGAATGTTTGGATATATTTTGTGAACTCTCAGCCTTGTAAACTCTCAAGCAAACCTTGTGAACTCTCACGCTTCCTCTTTCTGCTATGTATTCAAGATGGATAGTGATTAATATTTATATGTATTTATATGTAAGGATGTAAATATATACATATGTATGTATATAGCATGTTTATGTGTGTCTTATGTATGTGTACACTTTAGAGAGCAGGCAGCAGAATTTCATTTTTAATGTGTGCCAGTGTGCCCACAGTAAAAAATGACAATAAATGTTATCTTATTTTAGAAAATTACAGACTTTTAAGAAAATCTTGAAATATGGATCAAAGAATAACTTGGAGAATCACTAAGTAGTTGGATTTGCCATGAAGTGTCCTGGTTATAGTACAATAGACCCAAAACGATTCTCTCTCTTCAGGTGAGGATATGGTCAACAATATCTTACTTCTGTTTTCTAGAAAAAAAATCCCCTTCAGTTATCAGGCTTGACACAAAAGATTGACCCCCATTGCTCCTTCCTGGACCCAGTGAAGCTGATGAAAATACTAGAGGCCAAATGCTATTTTCCAAATGCACGTGCTCTGCGTCACTAACATTTATAAGATATTTGATTGTCTGGACCAATTTGCTTTTCCTAGTTCTTGGAGATTTGGGATGGCATGAATCTGTCTTCATTTTCTGTGTCATTGTACAGTGTAACCTATACTAGTTGATGGAGCTGGATTACAGGCTTCATCCATTATTATTTTTTTGCAGTTATTTATGCATTTGGGGGCATGGAGAATCACAGAGAAGATTTCTTGTCCTGGTCCTTTCTCCTTCTTCTACATTGTGGGGAGGAGAAAATAGGCAATGAAGGATAGTAAGGGAAAGACATGATATAAAATGTCTTCTTCCCTGTTCTACTCATAATAGAAATTAGAGAAACTACAGAAGATATTTTTGAATCTTCCTATCTTTACTCTAGAATTTACTTAAATATTTCTGAGGAAGTGGGAGTAGGGTTGCTGTTTCTGTATGGAAATCTTTGTCTTTCCTAATATGATTAGCTAGAACTTAGACTTAAGGAGGCTGTGAGGAAAGTGATGAATGTTCTTCTCTAGACAGGCCCTCTTTTGGGCAATAATCAACTGGATTCAAGGGGAGCAACTTGGGCCTCTGCATCTATGGTCTATCTATGGCAAACCTTTTAGAGACTGAGTGTCCAAACTGCAACCCAAAACCCACTTATGCATCGTCGGGTGCCGGGTGGGTGTGGCCCATTGGGTGGGTGTGGCCCATGGGTGGGTGTGGCCCATTGGGTGGGTGTGGCCCATGGGTGGGTGTGGCCCATTGGGTGGGTGTGGCTGCAGTGCTAACAGCAGACTGGGTGGGACTAAAAAGTTCAATCAATCAATTCCAACTTTGCAAGATCTTTTTTTTTCCCGCGAGAAGTTGAAATTGACTGATGGATTGAACCTTTTTTTTTTTGCACATGGCGGCGGAGGCCTAAAGCGAAAAGGTTTTATAAAACCCAGCTGAAGGCCTAGGACTGAGGCGACGGCGCGCGTGCCCACAGAGAGGGCTCTGAGTGCCGCTTCTGGCACCCGTGCTATAGGTTCGCCACCACTGATCTATGGGATGAGAAGGAGACGAAAAGAGAGATCCTCTACCTTGTTTAAGGAATCAAGAGAGACAAGTCACTGATTTGGCTCTATGTCTGATCCATTTGTTTCTTCAAGTCTCTCTAGTTCTTCCATTGCTCTCCCTGGCTAGTTTTCCTTTTCCTTGTAACACATGAATGTTTATCTTTATTTCCCCTGTTTATCTTTCTTTCCCCAGATGAGGAGGAAGAAAGCCTAAAATAATAGAAAGGGATATTTTGAAAGTGAAGATCAGTGCGGTAGCAGTGCTGAAGGAAGAGAAACAGCAACAGTAGCAGCAGCAGCCTGGCAGCAATGAAGCAGCCACAACTTTCCTAAATTTTATTCTCTTTGGAATAAGAGGTCCAGCATTCTGTAAATTAGCCCATAAGAGATACTTTGAAAAACAAATTGCCCTATGATGCAACTTTCAGCCAGTTAAAGGATACATACGAGAGTTTTAGTAGTGTATAATAGCATGAATTACCTCAACTGTCTCAAGATGAGTAAATATTAGTTCCAGAAGATACTGCATATTTTTATCCATTTTCCTTCTTTCTTCTGAAGTTGTTTGCATAACCACTTGGTATCTAAGGAGTAAATACCAGAAGAGAGTAGAAGAGAGTATTGCATTATTTATATTAAAAAACCTATCTATAAATTCACGGTTTGTATAAACAGCCTATAATAATTAACACGTGTATTCCAAAATCTAAATATGTTTCACTTTCCCATTTAACTAAGATTAATATTTGTACTACATTGCCTATAATATTCCAAATAATTCCTATAAGTTAATTTTTATAAATGAACTTTATGACTTAAGCTTATAGGAGTGTAATGTTAACTTGGAAGTTAAGATCCATTGATTTCAATGGAACTTACTCCAAGGGTGACCAGGATTGCAGCCTTATCCCATCTTCAATGAAAACAAGTATTTACATCTTTTCATATTGTTTTTTTCCTGTTTACCTTTACTCCATTCAATTCATACAATTGAATTTTAGTTGCAAGTTATTTTTAAAGCACACGATATATGATAATAATGCAAATCATTAATTTGTCTAGATAAGCAATCTGGTTTAGGGATCAAAAAGTGATCTCATAAAATGGCTGTACTGTTCATGAGTTACTCTGTTTTCCTGGTGACTGTATTGTAAGGTTTTCAAGTGTTTTGAATATTTTGCATTGCTTATATGATTATTTTATTTTGTGGGCGTTTTTTTAAAAGTATTGTTTACATTTTAATTATAAACTGCCCAGTCACAAATTAAGATGAGTAGCGCTATAAGTTGAATAAATAAATATATGTTCAACTCAGAAAACCTTCTAGGTTTTAAATCTTTGTTTAATTAAACTAACCGGCATCGTGTTTCATGCAGTTCCTTCATGGCTTCACTGACACCCTCATTGACACCATTATAGAGCAAATTTTTATGTTTCTCCAACAACTCCAGCTCCTTCGTACTCTTTTCTTCTTCTTCAACAACTACCTGCAATATGTATATGGATTAATACTTCAGAACTGAATCATACATTTATGACACAGATAGACCCTATCTATTGCAGGAAGAGAGCATTGTAAATTTAATATAGTGACATTGCTCCAGTTCTGAATTTTGTTAGAAGTGCTGTATGCATTTATCTTTTAGATCATTCTCATTCTAGAGAAAATACATCCACTAATGCTGCTTTTAAAAATACTTATTCATGTTATTATATTTATATCCTTTCTTTCCTGTATACATAACATTT